GAATCAACTCTGTGACTGGAAGGTGTTGAAGAAGCATCGCGCAACACTCACTCTGTGAACGTGCTTCTCCTTAGAACAACCCAGGCTGCTCTCTGAAGTTTGCATCTTTATCTCCTTTTTCTTCTTCCACTTCCATTTCTTTGCAAAGATTGCATCAGAGCTTCAAATTCCTATGAAAAACAAACAAACCCCCCAAACCAAACCAACTTTCCACCATTGAGTCAATAATAACTCATAGTGACCCTCTAGAACAGGGTCGAACTTCAGTTTCTGAGACCGCTCTTTCCAGGAGTAGAAAGCCATGTCCTTGTCCTACAGAGTGGCTGCTGGGTTGGAACTGCTGACCAGTGCATGACCACTACACCACCAAGGCAACTCATGTTTTTATGTGTTAGGTAAAATGAGATCAAGGAAGATATCCAAGTTGTAGTCAAGGAAAGGAGATAGAAAGAGAGAGAGACCCATCTTGGAGTTGAATGCAGGAAATGTGCCTAAGCCATCCTGGCAGCAAAGCTGTGTATACCATGTGAGAGCCCTGAAAAGAGAGACCGATGTTTTTTAAATCCCTTAATCAAAAGTCACGACTGGACATGCTTCTTTTTTCTGTCAGTTTGTTTGGGCTAAATGCATCTATTTGATGAGTTCTATTATAACACAGTCAACTTCAATGCTGTTTGCCAGAAGGCTGAACAATATTTTCATTTCTTTAATGGCTGGTTTCTGATTTGCTATTGCGTTCCCTTTTCAATAGATTTATAAACTGCATTCAGAAGGCATTCCTTTCTCTCTTGTATTCCATTAGAAATTTCTTCATATAGTCTTAGGCTTTTCTTCTTGGACACCCAGGGGTCACTCGTGAGCTCACTCCTTCATCTCCTTTCTCTGCACCACAGAGGAGTACGTACTCACATGGATGAAATAATGTAGCAGCCCCACAGCTAATCTACCAATGAGTCAAGTCTCAGCTCTGCTGTCATTTACATGTAGGACAGAAGCATTTTCCTCATCGGTCAGCTCCTTGTTAACAGAGTGTTCTGTAACTGCAAAAGACCAGACGAAGTCAGTGAAGGAAGGGCATTTTCCTTATGATCACGCAATTGTTTTCTCCACTTACCTAGATTGTTCTGATTCATAAAGAGACAGAGGATTGGGGGAAAGTGAGAACTACCTTGAAAGAAAAAGAATGAGTGAGTTCAGGTAGTACAACTTAGTTCATTGCTTTTAAATGTACCACCTAAAGCCTCCATTCCTCCCGGCACAGAGACTCTCACAGGAGACAGCACCAGATCCCGTACGGTTTTGGCGCACGTTCATTGCAAGCAATTGGAAAGAGGTGAATACGGGAGAGGGCAGTTCAGTCTGGCTTGGTTGACTTGAAGCGAGGCCGTGACCATGACATCATCCGGAGGTCCACACCTTCCCCTAGGTGGCACTCCATATTCACCAGTGCATGTTGAATTCATGTTTATTTTAATGGGTTTGGCTTTGTTTTCTGGGGATGATAGATTCACTAAGGACCAGAAATAACTAGGTCTTAAGAGAAAAGTCACCAATACTGATTTTCATGCCAAGACTGAAAACATATGTTAAGAAACTCTGGAGAAGTAATCAGTTCCTGCTACATAGGTAAGAGATTTCTTCTTTCATTCGTTATTTATTGAATTGTATTTTTTTGGTAACCAAATAGCTACATTTTAAAAACACAAATATTTGCAAAAATGTAAGGATAACATTTTCAAGAAACTGGAAAACATGTTAAGACACCATTTCATACATCATGGTCTGCAATAATGCTTTTACATCAATGCTCGTATCTTGTGCCAGCAAAGACTGATTTATAAAACATGTTTCCCAGTGCAGAACCAGATAATACTGGAGATAATTAATATGCCTGGTTAGAGCTGAAGAGCAATTTCCCGAGGCACCACTTGTAAGAGTGAAATCGCATCCACGGGAATGAGTGCAGGGCAGTTATATACCAGAAGAAGAGTAGGGGATTCCTGCCCCCTGCCAATTTCCCAATACTAGTTTAAACAGTGACGGCACTCTCCATGATGGCCTCTCAGAACTCTGAGCAGTGAGCTTTTAACTCTCTGGGTTCATAAATACTTTTTAAGATTTATAGGCACACAGGAAATCATATCATAGTCTAATTTCATACAATCTATCAGCATGATTAGTGCTTTATCACACACACAGCCTTAAAGCAGAATGTGCATTTCTTTTACTGTTATCTTAAGTAAGAAAAGAGTCATTAGTCATATGAGAGGGTTTCAACGTTCATGAAAAAATGGAATTAAAAGATAATGGAATTTCTCCATGAATTTTTGAAGTCTCTTCTTGTTAACAAACATTTGATCAGATTTAGAACATGTTAAAAGGACACTGAAAAATGAAAAAAGTATCAACTGTATAAATACTCGTGTATAAGCCAAGTTTTTCAGCACATTTTAAATGCAGTTTTTGTGGTAAAATTAGGTGCCTCGGCTGATATTCGGGTTGGCTTATACTTGAGTATATATGTTGTTGGGGTTTTTTTTTGAAAGAAACCCATTACATTTTAGAAAAAAATTAATTTGAAGATATAATTAGATTAAAAGAACGCACACATCTGTTATGGAACAGCTGAACCTAAAAGAATATCTAGTTTAAGATAGACCAGTGATAAGTTAGGCATGCTTTGGAAAACTACTATCAATTCGTGTTCATGTGTTTGAGGGTCTCTAGTCTCTAAATGATCCCTGGTGAGAGAGTGGGTCTGCAGTGGACTGCTACCTTTAAATGCAGCAGTTCAGAACCCCCAGCCCCTCGCTACTCCTGTAAAGAGTTACCGGCTTGGAAACTCATAACAACAGCTGTTCTACCCTAACGGTCCTGAGGGTCTCTGAGTCAGAATCGACTCGCTGGCAGTGAGTTTGTGTTTTGTTTTAAATTCCCCCAATGAGATTTATTTCTTAGAAATGTTGGCAATTCAGAGGAGAGACTGAGCAGTTTTCTGGCAAATTGCGTGAAAGATCAACCAACTCAGTCAGTTAACTACTTGGGTTTGAAAAAAGAATGCATCTCTTATCCATGTAGCCTTGCCTTATTTAATGGGGACATATTATGCTTAAGTTATTTGACTTGATAATGAACAAGTAGAGAGAAATGGAAACGTTCTTGTTAATAGGATACATTTACGTGTTAAGTAAAAACACCTAGATATTTGAGGCATAGGAGATAATGCCATACCATTGTGGGTTTTCAAAATAGCTTTCTCTTCCTTTTCTAGCTCAACGAAGCAAAAAGGCAGACAACTGTATGTTTTCATATCTAAATTTTTATTCGAAGAAAAACAAACAGATTTTAAACAAGTAACAACAAATCTCATTAAAGATTAAATATTGTAGTTATCAAATCTATGTAGACAATATGTTCCTAATATTTCTGCACAGCAGAAGCACACGGATTATAGAGTTCAGGCTGTCACGTGCTCATGTGAGTTGATTTTTGGCGTGACAGAGTATCTAAAGTCACATTTTAAACAGAAATGTGATAATAGATAAACTGATAGTAACTTATTGTTAATTCTTAAAGCTTTGATGATTTATCATGTGATTAACATTCCCTTAGCATGAGTGCTTTATGGACCCTTCTGTAACACTTTGTAACCAAGTGAATTAATTCCCTTTAAAGTTAATAATACTAGTAAAATCACCTAAACTGGAATTAGAAATCATTTTCTTGTTCATAGTAGCACAGTACAAATTAACAATGTATCTTGGGTAAACTTAGTATTTCATATCAAAAGTTAGAAAATGAAATGACATATATAGAGCACGCTTTGATGACAATAACCCACCATTTACCATGGAGCTATTCTGTATATCACATCAGTGCGCACCCTACTTGGGGAACAGGTTCCCTTTGTATGTCCTCCAAGTTTCCCTTTCCAATCTGTGTGAAACACTGAGAAATACAGCTTTATACCAATGTATTTTCAAAGATTTTCTTTAGAAAAGATTACATTTTCTCTCTTTTAGTAAAAAAAAGAAGAAAAGAAAAACCTAACAATCTGAGCAAGTATTCTTTTTTTCTTTCTTGCGTATAGTACACATTTGTGAGCGTCCACTAGGCGCAAGGGAAATTGTTTCTATCACACAATGTACTCTATATAGTGAGGATATCAAACGTATGGAAATGAAAAACGGTTTCCAACAAGTGAGCTAAGAAGAAAACTGATGCAAGACTTGTTTTAATCATTAAACATTGCAGGTTTTTAAAAAGCTTTTTTTTTTTTCCTTCGAAAACTATGTTTGTAAACTTGCCCACAAAAGCTGGGTAATATTAAAAGCCAGTAAGGCACTTTGTCAGAAAGGACTATGGAGTAAAGGCTGGATGATTGGTGATTTGTTTAATAGGAAACATTCTATACTGAAGATAGCAAACAGTAGAGAGTTAGCTTTTATTTTTGTGTTATAATTGATTTACCATCAAATACGAATATGGAAAGCTTTGCAATTTATTTCACTTAGTTTACCAAATTTTTTTTTCCCGCTGAAGAACTATTCTAGTTGTAATTTAAGAATTTTATTAATAGGAGTGATCAATTTAAATAAGGTGTTATTTAATATTAACAAACTCATAAATGGTTTCAAGTTATCCAAGCCACTCCATTTAAAAAGGAATTCCACAACAAAAGATCTTAGTATAAAAATGTTCCATGTTATTAACAATTCCCTTGCGACTTCTGATGGCTTCACATATTACCGTATAAGCTTTGGTATAAAACATGCACAGAAAAGCCAACGAGGTGGTGAATACAGGGTGCTACATACAAAGCACTTCAGAAACGAGAGTTGCCGACACAGCAGATGAGCAAGGTAACGCACCACTGGAGGATGACCGGAAGTTTTACTTCTACTGCTTCTTATTGGGTACATTTTGTTGGTTCAGAACTTTCATCAGAGATTGACTCATGTAATAGGGTCTTGTGGTAGAGCCATCATTTCTTTCTACATCTTCCACTAGGAGGAAGAATGGCACAGAGTAAATATCAAAGAAAAACTGTAAGAGAAGTAACATCGCCATCTGCTGCACACTTGCTTAACAGCAGTTCAAACTCTTTTTTTTTTTTTTTCCTTCTTCCTTAAATAGCCTAGTTTGGCACCAACACTATTGTAAACATAGGTATGAGAAAGCAATCAGCCCTTGTCAGTAAGATCTTATCTCATACTGTGTACCAGGTGGGATTCTACCAATATTACAAGTCTCTCAATTCCATTATGAAGAAACAACTTTAGCAAAGTTAATTATCAAGAGAAAAAATATTCCTCAGGAATTTCTGAATTTACCTTCCAATACCTAAAAGGAACCAAGTTCTCAATTTGCTTTCAAGTGACCATATTTGCTTAAAGTTGCTTCTGTCTTTCCATCAACAATTTAGCTAGTACAACTTTCACCAAAAAAAAAAAGAGGTTTGTAAGTTTAGTGTACTTAAATCTCTCAACTGTCAGCTTTGAAAACATTGCTCGTTCGCTTTCTCCTCCATACAGTTATTAGTTTAATTGCCTTTCATAAGAAAATGACTTCTAAATTTATTTTCAAAAATGATGTTCATTATTACCGTATGTTTCAGTTCTACAAAGAAGTAATTAATGGAGACTATGTTTCTGACTAGCAGTAAGCCCATAATGTAGTTAGCACTTCCACACCTAGAAATTCTTTCTTTAAGTGCTGAAGGTAATTAAGGAATATTTTACAAATGACATTCTTTATTCTGTGACTCCTCACCCAAGCATTATATCCTTAAAACATATACAAATTTAGAATGTATGTCCCAATTTCAGTAAAATCTTTTACCTTTTATTCTAGAGAAGGTTCTAGTCTCATACGCAGATATCATATTGAATATTTAATACACAAGTCTCATCCGATTCCAAGAATCTCTTAAGATGCAGAAGTATGACATTTAAAAGTTCCCAAATTAATCTCCTTCACCTCAAAAGGGAACTATTAGGACAGCCAAGCATGGAAGGAAAAAACAGGCAACTAGTTTCTCATGTGATGATTTATATTTTATTCAAGTGATTTTCCAAGTTTTATGCCCATCAGAATCAACTAGAGAACTTAGTAATAATTCACATGCTGGCCCGCATCCCACATAATATATCAGAATCTCACGGTGGGGCACTGGCATCTATATTTATAACTAGTTCTCAGAATGATTCTGATACATTTTATAAAAGGAGACTAATTGATTTGTTGATTTTATTATTATGAACTTTTGGGGACTATTCCTAAAGGGGACTTCCTCACTTAAGGTAAAAGTCACCATTCTTTTCAATTGTTGTGGCCTTGCATTGTTGAATAACATAATAATTGAAAACTTGGAAAATAAGTGATCATTCCTCCCTGCATTTAATGATTCAAGGAAACGAGGGTGAAGAAGGTCCTTTGCCAGGATCTGGGCTCAATGGATATTCCTGATGCCAGTAGTCTGAAGAAAGTAAGCCAGGAACAAGTTGGTGGCCCCTTATTGGCTTATAGCTTACTAGTGTGTCTTGCTATTAAGCTGCCATGGAATCAGCTAACTTCAGGATGATGACATACACTAGTATTTATATTCATTGGTAGTTCAGTGATACATTTCTGACTCTTCTTGATTGCCTAGGTCAAATGCAGATACATCTATTTTGTTTTTCTTCTCTGCGGATACATAAATAAACCGTATACATAAAAGTGCTTAGTGTAAATGCCAAGAGGATGCAAATTGGTTCAGGGCTCCTTGGTGATGCCCTAGTTCCGCACCATTAGCCATATCATACACACTTGCACAGCCGAGGCAGACAGACAAGGTCTGTGTGTATCTGATCCATGCTTTGCTCTGCCATGCAAAAGGCAAGTATGGTGCCGAAAACCAGCTTGTGACTGGTCAGCAGGGGCAGAGTATGGCATGAGCTATTCCCTGTAAGTCCTTGAGGGAGAAAATTCCCAACATATAGTTTGTCCTACCTACTGTGGGAGCAACACTGCATTTCCTCAGTGTAGAAACAAATGTGTCCTATCTTTCCTCTTCCCTTTCTGAAAACTGAGCTAAAGTTAAGCTTTTTGTAGGACAAAGCTATCTAGAAATACAGGTGAAACAAATTCACCTTGGTCTTCTATATTAAGTGAATAGGAATTTGAACTATAGACAAAATAATTGAGATGTGTGGTTTCTTGACTTTTGTTCAGCACATTTTCACCAAGGCCAGAGGTCGTTGGATTTGGAGGGGCCTTTCCCACTTCGGTTTGGGTTTCCTTGGGGTTTTATTTTCCTTGAGGCGGATGGGCTGCGAAGGTTCCACAGTATTTTACCCAGTGCTGCTTGTTGGGGAACCTGTCTGCAATGAACAGCTATATGTGTGTTATGGACTGGAATCACTTACTGAAATCGACTTCCTAGAGAACCATCAATATACAGCGAATCACAGTTTCGAGCATTGTCCACCAGCTTGAACAGTACCGAGATAAACATAGCACCATATTTACAAATTTAGTACCATATGCTGGTTAACTATAAATCAATCTTTTTATGGCTAATCCATTATACATGTATAGCACTTTCAAAAATTGCCTGAATATCCTTTACAAATGTACACGTATAAAAAGAAAGGCTATCAAAGTGTCGCCATGGGAAAGAGCACACCGAGTTATAAAAATTATTAAAACACTTTTGGCTAAAGATTTTTAAAAAGTTGAACATGTACATTTTTCTCTTCAGCCGAGACCAGTCTATAAAATACCCTACTTCACAGAGACTACTGTCCTCAAATGCCCAACACATCAGGTGGCACCGGCTGCTGATTATTTAGAAAGCACAGAAATTTCACAGTACCCCAAAGCACCATTTTCAAAGCCCAATAAATGTAACTTGCAAAACTTCTACTTAAAAGTGAGTGGCACTGTTGGAGCATTTCTACTTTGTCTGCTCGCGGGGAACTAGCTGCTTCTTGATCAGCATCCTGTGCAGGCTAGGGGAAATGAAGTAGGGTTTTGCTGTAGATCCATCATGTCTTTCCAGGTCTTCACCTGTGTGTGCAGGTCAAAGCAGCAGCAGAACAAGAATGTGCATTTTTAACCAATGGAGGAGGTGAGCAGGGAAAAATCAGAGAGAGCAGCGTTAGAAAGTCAAGCAAAAGACAAACCAGTGCATAAGTTGCTGATGCGGGACAAAGTGGAAGAAGACTCAACCCTCTGGCAGGAAGCATGGACACTTCCCAAGGCCCACCCTCTCCAAGAGAGGTTTGCTGTACAGTGAGATGCTCGCTCAGCTCCTCCCTGCCCTTTCAAAAGCACGCCCTTTAACTTCTGGGACTGTTCACTGTGCAAATATGTGTCTGTGCCGTCCTCCAGGAGGAAGTGGCATCAAGGGTGTACTCGGCCTGTGGTGAATGTCGACTAGTAACTGACTCTCAGAGTTAAACTCATCCTCAGTGTTAATCCACGCCCTAATTGTAAGAGATGAAGAACCTGAGGCCCAGGGAGGGAAAATGAGACTCTTGAGGCTGAAGCCTTTGCAGCACGCTGTTCTCCCTCATAACTCTGAGATATCCTGTCCCACATCCTTGGAGTCGGCCTCAAATTTCATTCAAAAGCTCCTCTCAACTTGCTGGCTTTTGTAAAAGCATGATATTAACATTCTGTAATAGTAATGTGTGAATGTATCTTCTTGCTTTGCTTAGGCTGATATCCACAATAAGATGTGTTTATTGAGCACACACCTGTTGGGTGCTTGGAAGGAAACCCCAGAATTATGCTGAGAATCAGAGAAAGTGAGTAGAAGTTTGCACAGAGTTAAAAGTTTCCTGTAGATACATCTATTTAATAATATATAGGGAATGTCTATTAATAGATGTATAGATGCAAATGTATAGTTTTGACCAGCATCTATTGAAATAATTATACAGTGAACCCTCGCCACTTCGCGCTTCAACTTCCGCGGCTTCACTCTATCGC